AGAGGGCGCTGTCAACTTTGGAAAAAGTTATCCCAATTTACTGTGTTGAGTTGGCATTGTACAGAAATGGACAGCCATATTGGTCTAGAAATGTTAATTTTTTATTTTTATTTTTAATTTTTTTTCCATTTGTACAGGGGTAATGTACTGCATTAAATATGTAAGGTCATATCTACATGGGCTTGATTACAGAAACCAATAAAGTATTCTCTAAATAATGAAAAAAAGAATAAGATAAGACTACAAGAGCAAGAAGCAACTTAAATATGTTCAGGGACCATTTTCATCTCCAGAATTAAGAATTATTTTAATCTTACATCATTGCCTTTTCTCTTTTACTTTACTTTTTAGTTTTATTTTAGGATTTCCTATTTTTAATGTTCATACAGAGATTTCTTTAAATGAAATGGCGAATAGTTTCTCTGGTGTGAAAAACTAGAATAGTACACAAGATCCTAATGAGATAATTAATAATGTGAAATAGGAAATAAAGGGCTAAAGGTGTAGGGAAAGTGGGAAGGGTGGGGGAAAGGTAATAAAGGAGAGGAAAAAATATAAGAAATTGAAAAAATGGAAATAAAGTGTTTGTGAATGGGGAAGGGAAGAGTGGGTAAAAGAAGGGCAGGGACAAGGGGAAAAAATGAGAATCAAGACCTATCATGTAAAGGTACAGGACTCCAATAATGAATGTAACTGTATTGTATACCTAGATTGTACCAATAAACTCAATAAAAAGACAAACAAACAACAAAAAAAACAACAACAACAATATGGTGGTACACGCCTATAATCCCAGCACTCAGGAGGCTGAGGCAGGAGGAGTGCTGTGAGTTCAAGACCAGCCTGGGCTACATAGTGAGTTCCAGGTCAGTATCAACTACATAGTGAGACCCTGTCTCAAAAAAACAACAATAAAACACAGTTAACTATTTAATCTCCCTGACCTTGAGAGGAAAAGATCCTACTAGAGACAGAACAGTACTTGACTCCCACAGCTCTGAGGACATGAAGCAATTAGTAAAGCTGCTTGAGAATATGCTAGCAATAACCTCTGCTGAGATCCATATTATCTGATGCTAGAAGGACCGCATCTGATAGAGGATTCTGGGAGTTAACTTCAGCTGTAGGGGAGGGGAAAATAATAAGACATATGGAATCTGCACCCATGTGTTCACTCTGTAACTGGACCTCAGCCTTAGAGGTGGCACACCTGACAAAGGACGCAGCCTCAAACTCAGAGCCACACCCTAAGGAAGTCATCCATACACCTGGGACTCTATGCCAGGTCAACAATCCTTTTGAAATAAAAAGAGATGGGGAGATGGGTGTGGTGGCACATGACTGTAGTCCCAGCACTTGGGAGGCTGAGGCAGGAGGATCACTGTGAGTTCGAGACCAGCCTGGGCTACACAGTGAGTTCCAGGTCAGTCTCAACTACATAGTGAGACCGTGTCTCAAAAAACAAATAACAAACAAAAAAAAGAGATGGGCCTTGACTGGAGACATACCCAAGTTGAAATCCGGGCCCTACCCTTATGAGCTGTGATTGGAGGAGTTATGGAAGCTTCCCTCTAAGTTTAGCTCCTGCACTTAGAAAACAGAGAGAAAACCTACCACAAAGGTTGTTGGAAGGATTCAGTGGAATAATCTATGTGAAGTACTTCACCCAGCATACATCTGGTCCCTAGCAGGCCTCTACAAGTACCAGTGCCTTTCTAGCATTCAAAAGGCAGTGGGAAGAGAATGATGAGTTCAAAGCTAGCCCTGGCTGCACAGTGAGCTCAAGGCTGGGCTGAACTACATAGTGAGGCCCTGTCTCAAAAACAAAACTCAACAAAAAGAAAAAAACAAAAAGCTTTTCAAAGGCATTACCTCTTCCACTTCTTTCTCTCTCTAAATCCTCCCCTGTAGGTCACAAATATGACAGGCATCATAACCATAAATATGTTACTTTCTGCCTACTGTACTGGAAAATGATTTTTTAAAGATATAGAAATATATATATCAAAGGCTTTGAAGGAAGTAGGGAGAAAGCAAAGCTTCCTGAAGAAATGGCTGATTCTGAGGCGGAATATGCACAAGATACACCAGAATTGCCTTAGTCTTCCAAAAAGCAAGGGCATCTTCAAAGACAGCTGATTGTTAAGAGTCAAAGGTCAATTTTAAAAGGCTGGCCCAAGGTAGGACAACAACCACACAAACCTCCTGTGAAAGATAGAGGAACAAAAAAGAAAAAAGAAAGAAAGATAGAGGAACAAAGTCATTTTAAAACTGTCAAAGGAAAAGAAGAAATCCTACCCATACCCAAGAATAATCAGAGTAGTTGCTAAAAATTTTCTCTTAAAATATTTTAGCTGACAAATAAAAATGAATGATAGAGTTACCATTACTATTTGTATTTTGTTATAATTTATAGCCCTTAAAAATTAAAAAGGCTATTAATATCACCCAAAGAAACAACCAGAGGCCATGTACCTCCAGAAAGAGCATACAGTACCACCTAAGAAGTGGTCTTGCCCTCTTCCCATACATACATACAAAAGTTGAACATAACCTTATAAAGTCTCTAGAACTGATTATCACTAAATTTACAGTGGTACCTTTGTTTGTGAATACTTTTGTTTGCAAACAATTTGGTTTTCAAACAGTAGCATTTGGCAAAATTTTGTTTTTGTTTGCAAACTTCTTTGGGTGACAAACACTACCACGGCTATCTCTCCCACAAAAACACAAACATGGCCATCTTTCTCAAACTTGTAGAATAGATTAAGTGTGCACCGAGTTACCACTGTACAAAAACTATGGGATTATAAGAACAAGTTAAGTGATACTACAAAGCTGAAATAAATTAAATCCAGACTATGGGGAAAACAACACAATTTTTTCAACAAATCAGTTGATTAAAGAAAATATCACCATTGAGGTAGTTAAAAGAATTTCCAGTGAATGCTGGGGGCATGGTAATAGCACTGGTGATGGAATTTTTATCAGAAACAAGATATTAGTGTACTCTGAAGACACCGTGGAGAAGTCTGGCAGATACCAACTACCCAGGCGACAGAGGTTAGCATCACCTGTGCTCCCAACGTATCACAGTGAGACGAGCCCAGCATAAGTTATGGGGTGCTGCTGCCTGGAATGTATGGCCTAGGTCTCATGGGGCAACATCAGACAGAACCATGCTACAGAGTGAAAACCCTGTCAGAACTGTCAAAAATGATAAGAAAAGTTCAAGGAAGCACCACAAAGGAAGAAGTCTGAGGAAAATATGTGCCAAATACATGTCACATGGCACCCCCGATAGTGTCCTAGGCCAGGGCGCAGAAAGAGCAGCGGTGAAACGGCTGGTACGATCTGACTGGGATCTGTGGGTGGGAAAGCTGTGTCACACCAGTGCTGATTCCCTGGCCTGGTGGGATGGAGTGAATACAGTAACATAATAACAGGGAGAAAGCAGGAGCATTTGTGGGCATTTGTTTTATACATACCTGGAGGCAACTTGATGGGGGTCTCCAGCACATTTGTTTGGGCCTGGTTGGAGGCTCGCTCTGTTTCAGCAAGGGCCCGGGCGCCAGCCTGAATAATATGTCTCTCCAACATCTCAACCTCATCCAGGCGCTGCTTATAGAGCTCCCGAATCTAGCAGGTAGATCATCAAATGCAGAGAAACACGGTGAGCTTCCAGAGCTTTACTTAGTTCCATCCCCACATCAGGACTTCCAGTGAAGTGCAGAACAGCCAGAGAAATATTTCAGTCATTTTGTCCGACCTACCAACTGTGAAAACTGAGACCCATAGAAAGAAAGGGACTAAAGGTTTCATAGTAAGATCAGTAACCGAGCAAAGCTGCGTACCCCTTTTCATGATTTCATAGGAAACAGAGCTGTTATCCACACTGTGAAATCCAAACATACTACCTGTAGGTACTTAGCACGTCACCTGTGGGGCCAACCAGGTCCCCAGTTCAGAGAGGGAGTCACACTCCCCAGCTACAAGTAGCACAGTCAGCAGACAGCTTCTAGCTGTCAACCTCAATCAATCTACCTCAGCTGCTGGAAAAGCTCATGCGGTCCTTTCTAACAATCCACATCTGGTAACTGAAAACCAGAAGAATATGGAAAAGCCTGGCCATTTTGACCCAAAGACAAAAACTTGGACAGTCAATACTCACCCCAGGGCAACCTGTGGCATCTGCCAAGTTTACTGTGTCCTCGTTATCATTTAACATCTTCAATGACTCAATCCTGCTTTCTCTCTTCTTCCTTCTTACAGGTGTTTACTGATAATAAGAAACTTATAGCCTAGACCCTCTCACAGCATCTGTACCCAAAGAATCCAATCTAGATGCCCAGTACACACCTCAAGACTAATTACAGATTGATTAGTGAGCCAGGAAAGCTTCTGATCCATATTTTCTTTTTTTTTTCATTAATTTTATTGGTAATTTTAAGGTATACAGTACAGTTACATTCATCATTGGGATCTTGTACCTTTACATGATGTGACTTGGTTCTTATTTTTCACCATTCCCCTGCCCTCCCTTCACCCCCTCCATCCTTCCCTATTTACAAAGACTTTATTTTCATTTTTTTCCTTTTCTCATATTTATTCTTTTCCCTTCTTTCCTTTTCCCTACCCTTCCCACTTCCCCTACTCCTTTAGACCCTATTTTACATATCAATTATACAATTTGAACCTTATTTACTTTTAGTTTTTCACACCAGAGAAACTATTTGGTATTTACACATGTGCCCTATTTATTTCACTTAAGAGTATAGCCTCAATGTGCATCCATTTAGCTCTAAATGTCTCTAGTTTCTCATTCTTTATGGCTGAGTAGTACTCCATTTTATAAAACACACACACCTTCTTTATCCAGTCTCCAGTTGATGGGCAATTGGGCTGTTTCCAAGTTTTAGCTATTACAAACTGTGCTTCTATAAACATGTGTGTGCATATATTGCTGTGGTATGACTCTTTTAATTCTTTTGGATCTGATCCATATTTTGAAGCTCAGAATTCTCAGGGCAAGAAGCAAAGAGCTCACTGGTAAAGGTAATGATCAAGACATTTTGTGCTGGGGAATAGAGCTGATAGCACTTCAAAGACATTTATTTAATCATTTTTTAAATAAAGACTTACTGTACATTTACCATGTACACTTGAGGAGAAAAATGCATCAAGTATGGTTTCTACTTTCAAGGAGTTTACATTTTAGCAGGATGGGTCAGGGAAAGATTCAGATAAGTGGAACAGACTCTTAAAAGTGTTATGACAGAATATGAATTAGATTAGACTGAAGCCCTGGAGTAGGTAGCTCAGTCTTCTTAGGGCCAGGAAACCCCCTCGCAGGAGACAGTGGCCAGGACAGCTCCTTCATTAAACATAAAGTACTGTGCTTTATACTATCATTTGGCTCTGCTGATAACCTCTGACTCTAATTCTTGGAAGTAGGAGTCAGTATCATATCAAAATAAACTACCAACTATCACTTACTGAGCACCTACCATGTTGGAAACACTCAGTGTTGTAAATCTTTTACTGAATTGTTTCATGTTATCCTCACAAAAACCTACAGTGTAGAAAACTACCTCCTCTTTATAGACAAGGAAACTGAGGTGTATAGAAGTAAAGTTTTTGCAAGGTCATACAAGTGGTATATAGCGGAGCCAGGATTCAAATCTATAGTGTGTAGTTCCAGAGTGTTTTCTCTTAATCATTAGACCATATAATACTTTTATAGGTGGACCTGGGAAAAACCAGCAATCAGTGAGTATGGGGAGAACTCAAGTCAAGGCACAGTGGTACGAGCTTGTCTTCCCACCTCCTCAGGAAGCTGGAATGGGAGGACCACAACTGGCTTGAATTATTGTGTCTTCAAAAAAGTTCAAAGCCTTTCCTTTGTGTGCATGCTAATGGGATCAAAGGCAGAGGCACTCTACCCCTGAACTACAACTGCATCTCCAGCCTTTTTTTCTTTTTCTTTTTCTTGAGAGTCTTGCTAAGTTGTCCAGCCTGGCCTTGAACTTGCCATCCTCCTAATTCTGCCTCCTAAGTAGCTGGGATAATATGTATAGCATCACACCCAGCACAAAGCCCTTATTTTTAGAAGTGGAATCACTCTGCTAGCTATTTGCAGTGGCTATTTGCAGGAAAGATATTAAAGAGGTAGTCTCTAACCAAGTGGGTCACAAGGCTTACAGGTTAACATTGTGTCACATATTCTGACTCCTGTGAATGACACAGACGAGAGCTAGAAGCTCAAGAGCAAGGTCTGGCCTTGGTTGGCTGAAGTCTTAGGAGAGTGAATGTGCTGCCCAAAGAACAGCACAATGGGTCCCATCCAGGGGTCCTGCCTGGGCTTCAGGAAGCCTATAACCCATGGCAGGGTTAAGACTAGCCCTACCAGTATCGCATACTGCACCGGTACTCATAGTAAAGTCTAAGTACCCCAGTTAGATTATAAACTACAGAGGACAGGCTGCTTGAATGTGTACACTCAAACACCTGTGTCTCGCTCCCGATTGAATGCCCACCACCCAGAACACAACACAGCACACAGAAAACAATAAACGTGTTAAATAAAGGAATTAATGAAGCTGGGGTGCGGAGAAGAGTTGGATGTATGTCACTTCAGGGGCAGGCAGGCTGAGGACAGAACGGAGCACACAAGAGAGAGGCAGATCTGAGGGGCAGGAGGCACCCTGGCAAGACTGTGGATTAGGAGGCAGAGGGACTTCAAACTGAAGGGAATTTGGGCAGAGAAAACCTCTGCACCTAGAACACAAGACAGCTGGCTTCCTGCCTGCACAGATGAGGAAGCAGAGTTGCTGTTCCAAGTCTGAGCGCTTCCGACAATCTGGGTGTGGCTTCCTTAGTCAAGATTGTGGCTCTTGATACTGAGGCACCCCCAAGGAGGGGCTGGCTCTCGGCTTTATCACCTCCAGGGAACAATTACTCAACGGTCTACGCTAGTCATTTTATTTATCTTGTACACGCAATTTGTAATGTGCGTAGTAGATAGGCGCTACAGATACCTGCCATCTCCGTGTAGCACCGTGTATGTGCATACTCGTTTAGTGTCTTTCTATAGAATGTCGGTTCCACTGCTGCAGGGAATTGGAACAGTGCCTGGCACTGGCCAAGGCTGACACGGGCCCGGCGCTGAGTCCTGCGGGCCGATCCCGGGTCTCGGGCACCGTCCGCACACGCGCTGCCGCCAAGCGGGGCTGCGGAGTGCGTTACCTGCTGCAGCTGGTCCACGAACTCCTCATGGCGCGCATTCTCGCTGCCGCGGGCCTGGATCAAACTGGCGCTCAGGTCCTCTCCGATCACTTCCACCGAGTACAAGTTGCGGAAGACGCGGGTGAGCAAGTGCGAGATGTCTTGGCTGCGCAGCGAGGAAGGGCGCAGACGCAGCGGCTGTGGCTCCGGGTGCGGCGGCACCGCCAGCGACCGGACTCTGCGGGACCGAGCCGCGAAGCTGTAGTGTAAGCCCTCGGAGAGGGAGACAGAGGACGGCAAGGAGGACTTCCCACTGAACTGGTAGGTGCTATTGGACCCGGCCAGACGCGAGGTCTGTGACCACTTTGTCAACTCGTACTGAGATTCCTCAGACCTCTGCTCTTCTCCGGTCCTGGTCTCCATGGCAACTGAGACGCCGCTAACTTCTCGCAGCACTTAGCTTCCGGCTCCGCCCCTTCCGCTTTGCCCCACTGTTCGACTGCGTCCGTGGTGTCCTCATCGGAAATTCTCGCAACCTCACCATTGACCCCTTCCAAAGGTCAGAGAGTGAGGTATCTATGCAGAAAAGACCAAGATACAGCCTGGCGGTCTGATTGCAAAGCCAGATTCTGATTACGTGCCTTCATACATTTATTCTTTACTATTATCTGTTGTTGATTTACTCATTTTATATTGGTTGTATAAAGATTGTTTCAGGCCCTGTGCTGGGAGCTGAAGGTACCAAAGGAAGTAAGATAGTGCTCCTACCCGTGTGTGTGTGTGTGTGTGTGTGTGACAAAGACGTGTTAAGGCCCAGGTGGAGATAACTATTTGTCATGGGATCCCAAAGGAGAACAAGAAATTAGTGTGTATGACAAGGAGTGGCTTCTTGGAAAAGGTGAAGATCAGGTAGAGATTTAAAAGAGTGAGTATACTCAACATCATTGTCATTGGGGAGTGGAATTTAAAACCACAATGTGACTGGTATCACTACACACTTAGTAAAATGGCCAAAATAATAAATTACTTGAATTTTCTCAAGGGACAAAACAAATGCTGGTGAGGATGTGGAGCAACTGTAATTCTCATATGTTGTGAATAGAAATACAAATTAGTACAACTGTGGAAAACAATTTGGCAGTGTCTTATAAAGTTAAACATACAGCAGCCTTACTGAGAGGGATTTCTCCACCTGAAATGAAACCATGCACACAAAATCTTGTACAGAAATGTTTATGGTCATTTATTCATAATCTCCAAAAATTGGGGGGAAATAAACTGTAGTATTATCAATACAATTGAATACTACTTAGCCATAAAAAGGAAACAAAACTTTTTTCCAGTACTGAGGATTGAACCTAGCACACTTTACCAGAGAACTATGTGCCCAGACCTTTTTATTTAAAAAAAAAAAAAAAAAGAAAAGAAGGAAAGAAAGTTCTAAGTTGGCCAAGCTGGCCCTGAAATTGGAATCCTCCTGCCCAGCCTCCCAAATAACTGGGATTACAGGCATGTTCTACCACACCCAGAAGCAAGCAGACTTTTGATAAAATATACAACAGCACAATCTCAAATGCATTTTTCTATGCTTAGGTAAGAAAAACCCATCTCTGAAGGCAATACATCCACTGAAGGAGTCCATTTATAGTGCCTTCCAGAGAATGCCAAACATAAAACAGGTCAGTAGTTGACAGGAGCTGGGGACAGAGGCCAGAGCTGACACAAGAACTTGAGGAACACAGGATATGGAACTGTGCTGTTCTTGGGGTGTGGTAGTAGTTACACAACAGTATGAGTCTGTCAAACTTCACAGTAAAGGTTGTGTTTTACTGCATGTAAATTAATCTCAGCTTTGTTTTGTTTTTTTTTTTTTTTTTTTTTTTTTTTTTTTTAGTGGGAAAAGGGAATGAGTAGGAGTAAGCCAGAGGCAAAGGGAGAAAAGGCACATATGCAAAAGCTGGGAGAGAAGGCTGCCTGTTGGAGAAGCTGCAAGAAACTCAAAGGTGAAATGCAAAGAGTTGGAAGGCGGAAGGGATGAAACAGGTGAGACCTAGGCCACATTAGGAAATGTGAACTTCATGTTGAGGAGAGTGTGAGGGCCATCAAGCATTTTAACCCGGGCCGTGTCGTAGTCAGCTGTTTATTTTACTGTACTAAAATTACTGGTTGCTGTGAGAATAATGGGAGACAAGATCAATTAGAAATTGCACAGGTTGGGAAAGAGACAACGGAGCTTGCATGAGGGTGAGGGAAATGGATTAGAGACAGATCCAAAAGGTAGAACTGACAAGACTGACAGGTGGAAGATGGAGGATGAGAAAGAGGGACCAGAATGACTCCCGATATTGTATCTGTGTGGTCGAGGGGTGATTACATCATGCACCGAGGTGAGGGAAAGTATTGCTCTTTCTCAGGTGGCATCCTGGAATCACATTGGCCATTGTCATCTGCATACCATGGCTCCTGCTCACAGGTGGCATCATAACCACTTTCTACTCAGGGTTGTGTATGCTCACCTTTTAGCCTGACATCCCACTTCCTGAGATGAGTTCAAGATGTTTACCCACAGACTCAGGCCACTTCTTCTCAAAGTTGGGCCTGGCTCCCTCATCTGTCCTTTTCAGTACCTTTTCTGTCCTGAGTGCTAGGAAACCAGGGTCCTCATCTTGGACTATGTATTTGAAAGGGCCCCACCCTGGCTGTGCTCCAGTTGCACCCTTCCCCAACAGGCTAAGAAGAACACAGACAAGTATTGTATTCTGGGCTTTTCCTCCACATACCTGAGAACCCAAAGATATTTGTCCAAATATCCTGTGCAGGCCTCTCCTTTAATGCCCTCCTGCCAGGGCTGGTGGTGTTTGCATGAAGGAGCAGTTTGGGAGGGGCTGAAGGGTAGTGAAAGACATGTGGGCAAGCGGGTTGCTGGTCTGATTTTCCATACACATGAGGTTCCTAGATGTACCGGTAGGAGCTGTGTGTGGGCCGGGAAGTGGGGCAATCTGGTGAGCCGGGTTTGCCCTGATGGGAGGGGCCATCCTCCCCAAACTGGGTGATCTTGTTGGTTAGGACCTGTTCCACATTTGGAGGCTTCCTGGCCTCCTTTCCTGTCCTAGGAAAGGGACGGATAGGGGATTCTTGCCATTACTTTCAGCTTCATTCTCTCTCCAGATGGCCATAGAGAATGTCTCGGGAAGTCTGGCCCTTCCCACTCTTCAGTGTCAGCCCCTCTGCTCAGCTGACATGATTCAGACCAACTCATGACCCTCCTGTCCTTGCAGTGGCAGTGGTCACTCCATCAACCCTCATCTGATGCCGCTGCCCCTCACCTCTGACTGATGTACTAACTTTCCCCTCATCTCTGTGCACCTCCCATGTGCATCCTCTTGTCCCTCTTCTGCTAGTATCTGCCTGCACTTTACAAAGATATTAAGATAAATTCATTTCTGATTGTGCTGTGTCTAGTATTCGGTCTGTCTGCTATCTGATTAACAGAACAAATGAGTGGCTCCGACCCTGCACCGGTAACAAAGGGCCAGGTCACCTTTGGCCCCATTCACCAGCTTCCTTCCCCTGGGAACTACCTATGTACAACAGCAGTCTCTTCTTTAGATGCCGTCCTCATTTTATAACCTTTTCTGCTGACCACGAATTTTGTTGGCTCATCTCTGGGTTCCACACACATTTTATTAGTAGTAATTGTTTGTGCTACATAATACATTCATTGGGGGTAGTTGATACATGTATATAACATTTTAATTCTTCTTTTTTCCTTCCCTCCCCTCCCCATCTCTTGGTCTCCTTGCTATTTGCAAAAAGTCTATTTCCCTGTCTCCTACTGTCTATTTTTTATTTTCCACTTTAACTTATTTATACTTTGGGTTTCTTATATAAGACAAACCGTGATATTTAAGCTTGTGCCAGATTTATTTCACTTAACATTATGGATTCAAGGTACATACATTTTCCTCCATATGACGCAAATTCATCCTTATGTTTAGGACAGCAGTCCTCCGTTGTGCATGAATGCCACATTTTTCTTATCCATTCATCAGTTGATGGACATATAGGCCACTTCCAAGATTTAGCTTTGATGATTTGTGCTGCTATAAGCATGGGAATGCAGGTATCACTGCAATGTGGTATCTTAACTTTCAGGGAGATATCTAGAAGTGGACTAGCTATGTTGAATGGAATTTCTATTTTTAAGATTTTTAAGGAATCTCCATACTGATTTCCGTAGTGCCTGTACTAGTTTACATTCCCACCAACAACATAGAAGGGTTCCTTTTTTCTCCATAGCCTCACCAGCATTTGTTATTATTTGATTTTTTGATAGTACCCATTTTTTCTGGAGTAAGATGGAATTTTCATTTCTGTAATCGCCAGAGATGTTGAGAATTTTTTCATGTATTTATTGGCCATTTGTACTTCTTTTTCTGAGATATGTCTATTAATTTCAGTTTTCCACTTTTGATTCTTTTATTTGGGGAGTCTAATTTTTTTTAGTTCTTTATATAGTCTCCATATTAGTCTTCTGTCTGAGGAATACCTGGCAAAACATTTTTTCCCACTCTGTAGCTTGATCCTTCACTCTTACTTGTTTCCTTTGCTATTCAGAGGCTTTTGAATGTGATATAATCCCACTTTTTGATTCTTGCTGTTATTTCTTGTGCAGCTGGGTTCTATTCAGAAAGTCTTTGCCTACAAGGGTCTTACATATTTTATCTCCCAGCAGGTTAAATGTTCCTCTTTTTTTTTTTTTTTTTTTTTTTTTTTTTTTTTTTTTTTTTTTTTTTTTTTTTTTTTTTTTTTTTTTTTTTTTTTTTTTTTTTTTTTTTTTTTTTTTTTGTTTGGTACTGGGGATTGAACCTCAGGATCTTGTGCTTGTGAGTCAGGGTCAGTATCATGAAGCTAAATCCCCAGCCCTAAATGTTCCTGGTTTAATACTTAGATCTTTGAACCATTTTGGTTTTAATTTCAGCACATGGTAAAACTTAGGGATCTATATTCAAATTTCTACGTGTGTATAGCCAGTTTTCCTAGCACCATTTGCTGAAGAGGCTATCTTTCCTCCAATGGTCCCTTTGTCAAAGATCATGTAGCCTAATTGTCTGGGATGTTTCTGCAACTTCTGTTCTGTTTTGCTGGTCCACATGTTTGTTTTTGTGCCAGGACCATGGTGTTTTTGTTTTTGTTTTTGTTTTTTTTAATTGTTGTAACTTTGTAATATAACTTGAAATCAGGGATTGTGATGCCTTTTACTTTTCTCTCATTACCCAGTATTGCTTTAGATATTCTGGGTCTCTTCTGGTTACATATAAATTTCAGGATCCACACACATTTTTGGCCTTTAAGGTTTTTTTTTTAAATTTTAAATTTCAAAACTTCTACATCATCGTAGTTAAACAGAAAACCCCACAGTA